TATATATATATATATATATTATTTTGTTTCATTTGTTTTCAACCTGAACTTCATCTATCCTTCGCATAAAGCAAAAAGAAAGGAATATCCGCATATAGTGGAATACTCCCAATTGACCGTCATTATTAATCTTTTAACAAAAACTCTGAGTCACTTCCTACTTCTCGAAGGAGTACTCAGATGCTCATGTGGCTGAGGTGTCTTTTCGTGTGTGGGTGGGATTCTCAAATGAGTACTCGGATGTTCATTTGGCCGAAAAGGTGCCTTTTTGTACATAAGTGGGTTTCTCAAAGGAGCACTTGGATGCTCATCTAGCCGAAAAGGTGATGTGCTTCATGCGTGGTTGCATGGTCGAGTACTCATGTGATTGGATGGCCGAGTCGGTTTGTGTTCAGGGTCACGTGGGTGTTGCAAATATCAAAGAGTCTCTTCATGCCTCATTATCTGGTATTTGTCGTACTAAGGCGGTGTGAAGGTGCATTAGTTGCGCCACTATCATAAAGTTGCATAACGTTGGGAATTTGTTCATTTATTTTATTCATACAAGTCTTTTTTGGTTGCCTCTTGGGTATCTATATATAAAAGGGGTTTAATTGCCTTTCTTCGCGCGTGTTCTCTGTACCGAGATATCATTTTCTTCTCGTTATGCTCTTTTCCTTCTTTTGTTAAGGTATGTCTGTGTGCGTAGCGTGGTTGGGTCTTTCGGGGTACATATGGCTATAGTCGAGAAATTGGGCTTATCTATGGGGTCTTCGTTAGGCACTAGGAGTTCGGTCGATGTCGGGGAGGTTGAAGTGTCTGTGAGTTTGTCGAAGCGGCTCACAATGAGTAATGCAAGGGAGAGCATTGGTGACTCCTTTAGGTTGGGGCTTCCTGACGTCGAGATGGATCCACAAGATTACAAGCAAAAGTTCCCCCCTGTGAAGTTCCGGGATATGAATGGGTCGACGGGGAGGTGGCGACCTATTACTCCCATTTTTATGAGAGGGTCGTCGTTGAAAGCTTACTCAAGAGGTGTCGATTAACTCGTTAGGAGGATACAGACCCTTAACCAATAATGTTTCACTATTGTAGGTCCAAAGGCCCTGGTGAGCCCGACAAGGTCTTCCTCGAAAAGCAAGGAGGCCAAGGTGATATTTTCTATATGTATGAGTGTGTGTTTAGGGATCTCGGTGTGTCCCTCCCTTTGAAGACTTCCATATGGGTGTACTCTGGGTTTTAAACTTGGTGCCAACTCAGCTTCATCCGAATGGATAGGCGGTAATGCAAGCATTCTGATTCCTTTGTAAATATCACTACATCAAGCCAACCATTGGGCTATTTTTGTATTTTTTTTTACCTGCCCTTCCACCAAGACTATGAAATGGGTGTCTCTAATAAGGCATGTAGAACGATGTCTATTCAAGCCATTTACATCTTCGTTTAAAGGATTCAAATCTGGCTTCTTGAAGGTGATGATTGACCTGATAGTTGGGAGGAACTACTACTTTTATGATTAGGAGGGAACCCCCATGTTCCCCTTTTATTGGACAAGGGTGCCCCGCAAATATGATGAATACCCGATAGATATGCTTACTCCCTTTGAGACCACGGCCCTGGCGGTGTTGAACACATTGCCTCGAGAGATCCCGACTAGATTTCTAGTTTTATTACCCAAGTCTTCCCGACCATGTTATGATTTAAATGGTACATGCTAACTTTCTGCTAGTTATATCTATGTGTCAACCTAATTATTATTGTTGTGTTACAGGCTTTATGGCACAGAAGGGTTTAGAGCTTTCATATAGGCAGGCCATTAGGAATCGTGCCCTGACCAATGCACTTTCGGAGGACCACTGAAGTGTGGTTGTAGATGGGGCTGCAGTGGTTGTTGAAGCACGCTCCCCTCCTCGATATTTCCCCATACCTGAGGCTTAGACTAAGAAGAAAAAGGACAAAGGGAAAAGAAAAAGCGATGAGTCCTCCCGACCAAGTGAGGATGGTTCGAGGCTGCACAAAAGTTGACGAATCGAAGGATCCCATTTGAACCTGACCATTCCTTTGGCTTTTATTGCTCGAGACTTCTTGGCACAGGAAGTTCGACCTTCTCGGATGATGGCTCCTGATTTGCTGTCTGAGGGGGGTCATCGGATGCTTAACTCTGCTAGTCCCTCGGCTTAGTGGGCCATGGCTTGTGAACTACAAGTGTGCACTTTGGCAATCCTCCGAAAGTTGGCTTTGTAGCCAATACCTGAAGCAAGGAGTTTGAAGAGCTCTTTAGACGAAACCCAACGTTCATTGCAACACTCCGTCAAGGCTTATGCTGCGACTTCAGCTGAAAAGCTTCAACTTAAGTTCGAGGTTGCTAAGCTTAAGGAGGCTTTGGCCGACATGGAGGGACAAGTGGTGGCTGCCGAAGTGGCCGAGAGGATGAGGGTCGAGGAGGTGAAGGAGGCCTTAGGTCACAAGGCCAAAGCCAAAGAAGAAGCTACTACAGCATTGAGGGATCTTCGCAAGGAGTGTGAAGATCAGATTGTGCATGAGCATGAGGCAGGTTTCATGCATGTTGTCCGACAAGCTACCTATTTATATCGTGTGCCTTTTGATTTCACCTTCAAGGTGACCAAGGATTTCTACAAGGGCACTTATATGGATTTTACTAAGATTCCCGAGGATGTTGAGCCAGATGATGTTGCCCCTGCTCGTTCGAGTAGCGGAGAGGATCCCGGCACAACCTGCTAGGATGACAAGGAGACCCAGTATGGCAATGGTGATGACAACACAGTTTCTGGTATGTGAGATGGACCAGGTTCCCTCTTCTTGGCTGTTTTGTAGAAGCCTTAGGTGGGAAGGTTGACTTTTTATTTTTTGTGGGATCAGGTGTAATGTTTTACTTTTTGAACCTTGTTGGTTTATGTGTACTGGAGCTTTGAATGTTGTTATTTATTTTGTCAATACCCAAGCAACTGCCAAACTTAATGAGAATCTATTTTGTATTGCATCCTTGTGTTTTTTCTTTCAAATTGAAGTTGTTATTGCTAAGTAGTTGTATATGTGTGCATTTTTTTATTTTATTTTTTATATATAAGGTACACATCTCGTTTGCGTTTGGATTGTAGTCTCTTCAGGTAAGATTAGGATGAGTATTTTTGTTCGCTTTTGTTCGAGCCAAGTGGGTGGTACCCAAAAGGAGTCCTTGATCATCTGAGTGCATGAGTTTGGGAGTGGTGTTCAACATTCAACCTTGGCCGAGTGGATGATACTCGGGAGGGATGTTAAGTATTCAACCTTGGCCGAGTGGGTGATACCCGAGAAAGAACCCATTAATCATCTTAGCCCATGTGCATGAAATTGGGAGGGGTGTTCGGTATTCGACCTTGGCCGAATGGGTGGTACTCGGGAGGGAACCCTTAATCATCCTAGCCCAAGTGCATGAGCTTGGGAGGGGTGTTCGGTATTCAACCTTGGCTGAGTGGGTGATACCTAGGAGGGAACCCTTTAATCATCCTAGCCTAAGTGCATGAACTTGGGAGGGGTGTTCGGTATTCAACCTTGGTCGAGTGGGTGGTACTCGAGAGGGAACCGTTAATCATCCTAGCCCAAGTGCATGAGTTTAGGAAGAGTGTTCGGTATTCAATCTTGCCCGATTGGGTGGTACCCAGGAGGGAAACCTTTAATCATCCTAGCTCAAGTGCATGAGCTTGGGAAGAGTATTCGGTATTTAACCTTGGCCAGTGCTACCTGAGAGGGAATAAAGCATTGTACGAAGATTAACTTTGTGTAAATAGGGTATTTTAAGTAGAAATTGGGGATGACGAATAAAGATTTTCATTAATTTGGTGCCTCCTTAAAAACCTCGTCGGTAAAACCTCTTTCATATTCTTTTAAAAGGATAAAATCTGAGGTAGGAAAAGAGTGCACCTATGAATACACTTTGTCGGTTCAACTATAATAATGCTTCAAATGGGATGCATTCCATGCTCGTGGGATGATATTCCCAGTGAGTTCTTCAAGTTTATATGCCACATTCTTCAAGTTGTTTAGTATCCTGAAGGGGCCACCCTAGTTTGGAGCCAACTTGCCTTATGATCGATTCTTTCTTGCTTTTCCTGTGACTCTCCAAACCAAATCCCCTAGTTGAAATTCCCAGTGCTTGACCTTGCTTTTAAATTGCCTGGCCAGTATCGTCCGGCATGCTTCCATATTAATTAGGGCTCGGTCCCTAACTTCGTCAACCAAGTCTAACGCTATGCTTAATGCTTCTCCATTGTTGTCTTCCCTAAATTTTTGTCGCCTTAATGAAGTCTCTCCAATTTCTACTGGCGTTCGTTTCGTATTTTAACCGGAAAAAGGGTCTCTTTGGTGGAGGCTTGGGGGGTGCACCTGTATGCCCACAAAATTTCTGGCAGGTGTTCTGACCAACTTCCCTTAGCTTGTCGTAATCACCTTTTTAACTCCTTCAGGATGACTTGTTTGCAGCTTCAGCCTGTCTGTTTCTTTGGGGATGTTCCACGAATGTCATCCTATGTTTGATATGCAATCCTTCTAAGAATTCATTAAAGCGTTGATCCGTGAATTGTAACCTATTGTCTGTGATCAATGCATAGGGAATGCCAAAGTGAGTGATGATATTTTTCTAGAGAAATTTTTGCACATTGTTAGTTGTGATGTCAGCTAATGGTTCTGCCTCTATCCACTTCGTGAAAGGATCCACTACAACCAAGAGAAATTCACCTGTCCTTTAGCCAGGGGAATGGCCCTAAAATATCCATGCCCCATACGGTAAAGGGCTAATGATGGAAGTACTTGGAGAAGTGATTGTTGTTCTTCTTCAAGATCCATCCATGCGTCCAATCTAGCTCTTGAGGATTGACTCTTCAATGGCGGAAGCAAAGTTACAAGCTTCAAAGCTTGTTGAAGCAACTCAAGGAGGTTCGGTTTCTTCCTTAAAGAGGAAGAAACTTAAGGAACCAAGAACAAAGGAGGAATTCCTTTGTTGAGAAGCTTAGGGGAGAAGCTTCTTCTCCATGGAATTGAGACTCTTGAGAGAGAGAATTTTAGAGAAAAATTTTGAATATTCATATGCTCAAAAGTGAGTACAAGAGTGAGGTTTAGGAATTTATAAAAGTAGGTAGCTTGTGGAGCAAGCTAAGCTTAACCATGGTTCAAGTGAACCATGGTTAGCTTAGCTTGACCGTCCACTCTAGTTTAGGAATTTATTGTTAGTTAATTATATTAAACAAAGTGAAATAAAGGTGTGTCTGTGTGTATGTTCAATTTTTCAATTTTTTTTATATAAATCTGAATTTAGAATTATTTTTTTTTACAATCGAATTAATTCTTATAAATTTTAAAAATCCAATATTAATTAATAGATATAAGTAAGAGTGTGTATGTGTGTCTAAAAATCCAATATTAATTAATAGATATAAGTAAGTGTGTGTGTGTGTGATGCAGCAAAGATAATTTGAATCTTTTTTTTCCTATACAAAATTATTTACCATTGTTTCTGTTTGGAAATTTGAATCTTGGTGGACATGTGATGCAACAAAGATAATTTTCAATTGGTCACAATTAGGCATGGCAACAGGGCGGGTTGGGTATAGATTTCATGATACTCGTTCCTGTCCCCATGTTTTAAATCCATTCTCATCCCCTTTTCCGTACTCGTTGGGTATGTAATTTTCGTCTCATCCCCTTCCCCATCGAGTATCAGGTATACCCGTATCTGTACAAGTCAAAAATTAATTAATTTTCTTTTGCAAAAAAAGAAACACACAATATTTTTAGTTTATCTTTCCATTATATTACAATTTTAATTGAGTTGTTTGTCTATCTCATATTTTAATCAAGAGATTTCTTAATAATTAAACAACCACAAATGTTTCACATCATAATAAACAGTCACACATAATTAAATATTAAAATTCTTTAAAACAATCAAATCGGGGATGGATATCAAACTGGGGATGGGGATGGGGACGAGGATGGGGCGAGTAAGTATATACCCGTCCCCATCCTTGTGCCCGGTTTAATATTTCGAGTTTTACTTGTACTCGTACCTGGTCAAATCGGGCATTCCTGGGACAAGTTCAGATATTACCCACAAGTATGAGTTTATTTGTCATCCCTAGTCACGATAGCAACACTCTAGCTAAAAAGAAATTCAGGCAATTAGAAATGTAAATAGGTCATCTCAGATTAAACTTTCAATATATATGTCATATTTATTTTAAAAATTTTAAAAGTTTGATTTGATCTATTAGTTTATTTAAAAATCTATTTTACATTAATAATGTTAAATTTATCAATAAATTTAATTTTAAGCAAGTCAATAAAATCTATTTTTAAATATCTATGCAAGTCTTTTTAAAAATTTTGTGATAGAAAAATAGGTTATTCTATCATTATTAAAAATTTAAAATTTAAAATAAAAACAAAAAATTATTGTAAGAGGAACAACTCGTATACATTATGCATATGTTCAGGCATTGGTATAGTGAAAGAAAATAATTTTATTAAAAAATTTCTAAATACTTCCTATATTTAGAATATTATAAACAAACAAAAATGAAAATAAAATAAAAGAGCAAGTAAAGATGTGATTGTTAGACTTTTTATTTTTTATTTCTTGATTTCATATGAATAGAGAATGTGCAACATTTAATTTACTAAAAATGAAAAAAATATTAATAATTTAATTTTTCTACTATAAATTTATTTAATTATATTGTTAATAATATAATATGTATATTATATTTTTGTATTATATGATATAGATAAATAGGATGGTCTATTAAGTTTAAGAGATATTTTTTTAAGTATAAGCTAAGCCTTTTTAAATAAATAGATTTTTTTAAAGTTTAAATCTGACATATTTATTAATAGGTCAAGTCATGTTAGACTTCAAACAATCAGACTATAACTCATGTTTAAGGTTTAACCTATTCTCACTCCTTAGTATTAATCTCTTATATTTTGATGTAACAATTGTTGCATGCAACATGTTGATTTTGATATCTTCATCTCTAATTGATGGGTAGAATTTAAGGTAGACGGTTGAAAAAATTTTCTTTCAAAGAGAAATTAAAGCTATTAAAAGGTAGGCTTAGGTTTTACATCAAATAAGTTTTTAGCAAAATATATAATAATAGTTCTTATTCTTGACACTTCCTCAAGCTTCTTCAAGATCTCCAATAGAGGTAGAGACCTCTGGTTTAACCTTCAAAGATGAGAAACTCTCTTCAAGTGGTGTCACCTCAAGGTAGAAGATAAATCACTTCAACTCTCACCACACTCTTAGGAAGAGGATAAGAAAATTGGAAGTAAATCAAATAGAGCATTTAGACTTTTGAGAGAGAGAATTCAGAGAAGAAATCTCAGTCAAAATCTCATATATGCATCAAAAGTGAGTTTTACAAGTGGAACAACCTATATACCATGGTGGAGAAGTTTGTAGTGCAAGCTAGATAAGGTAGAGACAAGGTAGGGACACTTAAATCTAGATTAGCCGATCATAGAGTGCCAAGTGTCACCTTGTCTCCTACGAGACAAAGAAGGGACACTTAGATCTAGAAGAGTCAATCATAGAGTGCCAAGTGTCACCTTGTCCCCTTGACAAGCTAAGAGACAAGTGTATTTGAGAAGCTAAGCAAGTAACTTCGGCCAAAGGAGAAGTGGGCGGCCATACTTGTTTTCCTTAATCTAATCCAATAAAAAAATCTTGAAATTGGTTTAATTAGGTTCACCAAATAATGGTGATACCTAGCTAAATTAATTCCTTGGATTTAAATAGAGAAAAACAAGCTTAATATGTAAAATTTGACCTAGGTCCACTAGGGCCCAATTACTAGCTTCACCTACACATTTACTATTTGCTACCCCACTACTAAAACTAAAAATATGAAAATCTATTACCCTTAACACAAGGTCAAATGAAGTAAAAGTCTCCAAGTAACATACCCTAAAATCCTAAGGGTATATGACCTACAAATAAAGATAAA